GGAAGTATAAATCGCTTTTAGCAATCTTGCACAGAGGGATTCAGGTGTCCGCAGAATGTGCCATGATTGCCTAGCTAGTAAAGCATGGTTAAAAACCTCAAAGTCTCGAAAACCAAGGGCCCCCCATAAACTTTGGTTGTCTCATTACCTTCCATGAGACCCAGCTCAGCTAACGCTGCTTGCCATCTTTGCTGCTCTCCACCAAAACTGTTGAATAATCTTGTTAATACGCTGCAGTCCCCTGGGTAGCTTGAAACAAGGCATGGATTATACGGGAACAACTTGTGCAACAGATTTGACCAACACTTCTTTTCCTGTTGATGGGAGAAAGGACAGGACCACAATCTGTTGGCATGGTTCCCAGATCAGAAGAAAGGGGAATGGATCCAACAAGAACTGAACTAAGAGGTTATTTTGAGGCTGCAGGAGAGATAAGAAAGAAGGAAAATCGAGAGATAGAGTTAGGGTTACTAAAGATATTGGCTTATATAATGCCTAGGCACATGTGTGAGGAAGTAACTTCTGCAATGTGTGCTCCAACATAAAATTGACCATGAGCCTTTTCAGCGTTGCACTTCACCCACGTGGCTCATTGACCATCCTTGTGCATCACACACGATCCTTGCGGGGATGCATGCATGCCCCCACGATACATCCATGCAATGGCAAAAGCTACGGAGATACATACATTCATGAACCTCTTGGTAAGATCATAATTCAGATTCATGGATTACTCAGGCCCGGGATGTTTAGAAATCACAAATTCAAATGGTAAGTGCTTAAAGCGGGGGGAAACCCTTTTTCTTAATGGTAAGTGCTTAAACTTTCAGGCTCACCGCAAAGCAACCAGACCATTTTTTTTACAATGGCTAGAAAAAAAGTTTTCATAACACGGAAGGCACAAAGGAACGAATTTTACCAACAAAAATACACAAGGATAAAACGACTAACTAGGGAACTTGCAAACGGCTACAATGCAGATCAATTTGCGCTTACACCTGAAGTTACAGACCATTCATTCGTTGAAGAGACAAATTATGTACATAACGAGAGAAAAGCTAGACGATCCCATATTGTGCACAAGAGTGTCACCTCAGGACTAACTGCTGGTTTGAAGCAATAACCTTGGCAATGAGCTCGTTCAGAACAGAGGGATAAGTCGCGATTATATGCTGCCAACCTTTGCTCGCGATTATTGTCTGCAAACATGAGGGAGACTGGACTTGGATAAACTTCAAGCACGCCTCCTTCAATCCGTGGCAGTGGTGCTGCTCGGCTAGGACAAGCATGGACGCCACCGAGCTTACACACATGTTCTTACACAACTCTTTCTCACATATGTACTTGAGCCTTTGGACGTCATATCTATCTGCTGCTACCAATAAGTTTTGAAGCCATTGCCGCCACATTTCATACTTTACTGCCTCCTCTTCTGTAGCTTCTGACATTTCATCCTCCTTCATGTCGGGGAATGAGTCTATGTAGATGAAGTTAAGCAAAGCCTTGAACGCTGTTGCTTCCATGTCTTTGATCTGTATGACATCGAGCGAGGCAGATCCCTCCTTCATGGGTCCAAATAGTTGTGCCATGAAGACCTTAGATTGGGCTGCAAGCACGCATCGGTGCGCTGAGAAAATCTCGCTGCCGACTTCAAATGTCACATCAGCACCCACCTTATTGTGAAGGAGATTGTTAAGGTTACGGTGTATATCAGGCAGGAGCACTTGGGTGCCACCGGCATCATTCTCGGCGTTGCAGACCATGATGTCACACCGGATGGTGAAACAGTCATCCTTGTCTAGATTCATTAATCTTTCAAGGGCATCTATTTTCATAAACATGTAGAAGCCCCAAGAAGAGGCATCGGAGGAGAAGCTGCATGTTTTCATTCCACGGATGTACACTGGATTCTGCCACTCAACCTCGTCGACGAAACTAAAGCTAAACTTGGCTTCCACATGCTTGTCATCGTCATCGAGACGGTGCACGTAGAGAGAGACGACGTCGGCGCGATCCAATGTGATGCCATTAGGATAGTAGCTCATGGACCAACGATGGCCTCCTACCCCGAAATCACGAGAGGTGAGGCGCTGACCAGTGGGCGTCTCTTTCTTGGTACGACCCGCAGTCGGAGCTGGTGCCGACGAAGGACATGGTCGAAGAGCACAAGATGCCGTCGTCCAAGACGGATACGCCGGCGAACGACGACATGGCCAACTCGCCGTGCGTGGACGTCGCTTAGCTTGCCCCGACGGCTGGTGGGTGAGTCTCACGTTATCACGAAGCCTATGGTACGTCTGGCTATCTGCAGGCTATGCACGTATATATATGGCCGATCCAGAATACACGGACGGACACTCCAAATCTTCAGTAGTAGTACAACTCTGATCGTATGGCACCAGGAACGGAGGACATAAATTAGGAAAGTCCTGATCGGACTCGTCAGTTTGGACGTTGTATTCTTCTTGCCCCGATGTTGTGTTGCTGCTCCTGAACTTTCCATTCAAACATTAAGCTAAGAAGCTGTCTTCACTGCTCCATTCTTGGACCTTATCCCCTCCCCAGAGAGAGCCGGCGCGTCGTCCCCACACGGGCGACTCGGGCGGCGACACCATCCCCCGTCCTCTCGCCTCCTCCTCCCCCCTTCCCCACCGCCGACGGGAGCCGCCAGGGCAAAGCCCCTCGCGGTGTCTGGCGGCATTGGCAGGGCACCTCTCTCATCCTCTCGGGAGCGGTCGGCATGGGGCGACCTGTCCGGACTGAGGCATCGGGCCCGGCGGCGGTGTGCTTGTAGGATGGCGGCACGACGGCAGTTTCGGCAGTGGCTCGCGACATGGCGGCTGCATGCCCGTGGCGGCGGCGTTGGTCCAAATCTGTACTGCGGGTGGCGGCTCTGGCAGGCCTTTGGCAATCTTCTCGGCGTGCATATGCCACGTGTGTGACTGGGATGGCGGCTCTATGTTGGTGCGGCCGGCTGGACGATGGGGGCAGGAGGCGGTGGCGTTGTTCTTCGTGTAGCCCACGCTCCGGGACGGCGGTGTCGGGGAGGCTTCAAGCACTCGTCCCTGTGTTCGCGGTGTGGCGATACATGAAGGTGGTGTGGTGGACAACGTTCGGCCGCACACAGGTACAGGGAGCCGAAATAGTCCGCGTTTATGCTCTCCTTCCTGCTGCTCAGTAATGGCGTCAGTCCGAGTTAGACACCCAGTGGCTGATGCCGAGCTAAGAGTGAAAGGCTGGGTCTTCTGCTCTTCCTATCATGGTTGGAGTGTTGTGATGTGGATAGTTGACGGTGGCTCGGGACATGGATGTCGATAGGCGGCCTCGGATGTTGATCTACATGGTTGACTCTCCAGCGGGCACAATAGAGGCGGTGGTGGCTATGCCTCTTGGTTGTCTTACGGCAAGCAAACACTTGCAAAAGGGAGTGATATGCCTCAAGTACATAAATCATTGGATCATCCTTTGTCAGTTTATTTTGTACAAGAAGCGACTCTATTTTTGTCATCATCTGTGAATTTCTAAAAATGAGTGGCAATGAGCAAGAGATGAACACCGCACTACAATATATATAATCTCATTGCTCTCTGTACAACATATATAGTAGTACCAGGGGAAAGGAATATTGGAACTTCACTTACATCACTGATATGCGCAGACACACACTGATATTGGAAAGAAATATATGAGTGCCAGATATGCGCAAGAATAAGCGCGACAAGCTGAATCATACAAACACTTATTTCGGACACTTGGAGGAGGGAACAAGAATCAACCGAGATCATCATAAGCCGTAATCTGGAGAGTAAGGAAATACCATTGCATAACCCTGGAATATCAGAAAGGAGCAGCTAGGCAGGATCAATTAACTTCATACCCATCACTTAACACCAGCATACCTCCAAGTAATTCGACCAAAACATATTCTGTTTTTTTTAGAATAACGGCAAAAAAAAACCTACCAGTGATCCAAACATATTTATTATATAAGGAAAAAATTATAGCCCATGTGGCCCAATCTGTGCACTCAAAGCTTTTCCCCGGCTTTACTAAATTGACAACATCTGTGCTAAAAAATACTACACCAGAATGAAAGTCATCTCTTTGGGTACAGAGCACAACTCAAACATTGGACTTTGCAAAACCTTTGGAGCTCTAACCGAGGAGAACATCAAGCACCCACATGAAGGTTGCTGGGTACTTAATGGATAAATATTTCACACTAACGCTGTCATTGTGATCAGCAAAAAAAAACATTTCCCCTAAATGCAGGTTCATAAATTGTCTTTCTGAAAACATCAACATTGCATATCTACTAGAAAATGGTTATACATGACAGGGAAGGCACAAAACATTAATATACTGGACAACAAATGCACAGATAAATATACGAGGATAAATCGACTAGATAGGAAACTTGAACAATGCTGATGAAACCATCCATTCCCTGAAGAAACAATTTGCCCATATGTTGCATTTTCTGATCCAGTATATAAGTAAATTAAAATGTGAGACAAAAGCAAGACACACAGACTACCATCTCTAGTGGATTCCAAATATGCATAAGAGCATCACTTCATATCTAAGGAACATGCGTACCATATCCAGAGTGTTACTTCTGCTGGTTCAAAGCAATAAGCTTGGCAATGAGATCCTTCAAAGCCGAGGGATAGTTCGTGAAGACATTATCCCAGCCACTAGACGCCATTACTGTTTGCAAACGCGAGGGAGGCTGGACTTGGAGATACTTGAAGCACGCTCCCTTCAACCACTGGCAGTGGTGCTGCTCGGCTAGAGCAAGAGTGGACATGACTGAGCTCACACCTAGGCGTTCAGAAAACTGCTTTTCACAGATGAGCTTGAGCCCTTGGACATCATATCTGTCTGCCGCTACCAACAAGTCTTGAAGCCATTGCAGCCGCATTTCATCCTCTTCTTGTCCTTTTTCCGCAACTTGTGCTTTCTCCTCCTCCTCCATCTCAGGGAATGAGTCTGTGTAGATGAAGCTAAGCAAAGCCTTGAACACTTTTGCTTCCATGTCTTTGATCTGTATGATGGCGGACCTAGTGGTACCCTCCTTCATGGGACCAAAGAGTTGTGCCATGAACACCGTAGATCGGGCTGCAAGCACACACCTGTGTGCGACGAACGTCTCACCGCTGACCTCAAATGTCACATCGGCACCCACCTTATTTTGAAGGAGATTGTTGAATTGGTGGTGTACGTCAGGTGGGAGCCCCTCGTCGCGTTTGGCATCATCATCATCGGTGTTGAGGACCATGATGTCACACCGGATGGTCAAACAATTACCCTTTAGATTCACCGATTCTTCAAGGACGTCTTTTTTCATAAACTTGTCGAGCCGCATAAAAGCATAGCCGCCGAAGGTGCGCGTTCCAGTTCCACGGATGTACATTGGCTTGTGCTTCTCAACCTGGTCGATGAAACTGACACACACCTTTGCTTTCACAGTGTTCTGGTAATCCTCATCATTATCAAGAACTGAGACATGCAAAGAAATGTAGTCGGCACATTTTGAGCTCTCCCCGTTAGGGTAGTATTCGATGTACCATGTATGGCCTCCTACGACGAAAGCACGGGAGCAAAGGCCCCTTCCGCTGGGTGTCAGTTCTTTGGTAAGCAAGTACTCTTGGACCACAAGCAGGTGGTAGCCGTAGTCCGTGCCAGTGTCAACGGCGTAGGCGGTGGAAGGGCTCAGGTCGCCCTCGGCCAAGAGAGTTATGCCGGCGAACGACGACATGACGAACCTGCGAGCCCATCGGAAATCACCATTGATTGAATTAACAATTCATGCAAGAGACGATACGATCAAGGCAGAACAAACATGCACAATTTGCCCCAAGATGAGCAAATAATTGTGCTGCTAATTCAGTCGCTAGACATTGATTTCATAAAAAAGAAACAATTGTCTGGAATTTGCATGAGCTCAAATCTATGATTGGGCAAAAAAGATGAAATTTACAGAGGCGATCCAAACATGCTCCAGGATGTTGCTTAGGCTACAGATCGATGAGTGTCTCCCCCAAGATGAGTGGTATTACTCCCTCCGTTCCGAATTACTTGTCGCATGTATGGATATATTTAGATGTATTTTAATTCTAGATGCATCTATTTCAGCGACGAGTAATTTGGAACGGAGGGAGTAGTAGACAAACAGCTCATATGAACAATAGGCTTCAGAGTTGGAACCGATTAGCTGGGGCTGGGGGCAAACCTGCTGGGTCTCCGCCGGGTCGCTCCTCGCCGGAAACAGATGCAGCGCCGCCGGCTGGTCGGTGTGTGCGGCCTAGATTTAGTTAGGGTTTAATATATATATGATGATTGGCTTTTATTTTAAGGCCTCGCAGCCCACGGGCTGAAAAGCCCATCGATCACCGTTTGGGGAATTTGGCACGAGGCAGAAAGATCATCCAGTAAAAACACTCATGCCTTCCTTCGCTTCTGTCACGGATTATTAAAACAGAAATTTCCACCTCTGTTTTTACCAAAAAAATAAAGTCCTGCATGGAACATATATTTTTTTTGCGGGAAAAGAACTTTCATTAATCAACCATGATGATTACATTCAGAATCAACAATGCTAGCTATCTCCATAGGGGAGTTTCGGAGCCAACATGCTGTGCGCTGTTGCGATCGACCCATACAAGCAAGGGTGTGACTCGCCACATTCGCGTGCCTACTAATCTTAGCTAGACTAATGTTCCTTTCTTGAGCCAGAATTCGTCTGATCTCATTAACCTGATATGCATACCTCGATCGATCGCCATCTTTGGATTGAACCAACTTCAGCAGCTCGGCACAATCCGTTTCCACAATCAGCGGCAGGTTCGTCCAGTGTAGAGAAAGCCGTAATCCTTCCTCCATAGCCGCCATCTCAGCTTCTAAGGGGTCACCACAATTAAATAGTGTCAGTGTCACGGCGAAGATAACATCACCTTCATGATCCCGCAAGATCATCCCAGCCCCAGCCGTACCATTTTCTTTCACAAAAGCATCATCGACATTCAGTTTAGCATGATATGCATCAGGCGTCTCCCAGCGTGGCGTGGTTGTTATTGTATGTGCGTATTTTTGTATGCTTCCTGATAGAGCAACCACCTGCTTGCCCTTGGTGAGGTCTGTCGACGGATGTTGTTGTATTGCGTGGAACATATATATCCATACAGGAATGAAATGGAATTTACAGACCGTCCAACGACGAAAATGCATATTGTATACAGAGAGTAGGTGTTACTTCTGATTCAAAGCAATAAGCTTGGCAATGAGGTCGCTCAAAACAAAGGGATAGGTCGTAACTATATGTTCCCAGCCCTTAGTCCCCATTAACGTTTGCAAACACGAGGGGGGTTGGACTCGGATAAACTTCAAGCACGCCTCCTTTAGTCCGCGTCAATGGTGCTGCTCGGCTAGAACCAGGGTGGACGCTACCGAGCTCACGCTTATGTTGTGAGACAACTGCTTTTCACATATGAACTTGAGTTGTTGGATATCATATTTGTCTGCTGCTACCAACAAATCTTTCAGCCATTGCAGCCTCGTCTCATCACTTGCCCATGTTTCATAACTTCTGTTCCGTCCTCCTTCATCTTAGGGAACAAGTCTGTGTAGATGAAGGTAAGCAAAGCCCTGAATACTTTTGCTTCCATGTCTTTGATATGTATGGTGGTGGACATATCGGTGCCCGCCTTCATGGGGTCAAGAGTTGAGCCATGAAGACTTTAGACATGGTTGCAAGCACACACCGGTGTGCGGTGAACATCTCGCCACTAACCTCGAATGTCACATCCGCGCCAAGCTTGGATTGAAGGAGATCGTCAAAATGATGGAATATGTCGGGTAGGTGCACCGCGGTGCCACGGCCACCGGCATCATCATCCTCTGTGTTGTAGACCATGATATCACACCTGAGGGTGAAAGAATCGACCTCCAGATCCGTTGATCGTTCAAGGACGTCCTTTTTCATAAACCTGTTGTAGGCTGGGTTTTGCTTCTCAACATGGTCAATGACACTGAAACCAAACTTGGCTTCCACAGGCTTCTTGCCATCATCGTCTTCATCAAGGAAAACATAGAGGGAAACAAAGTCGGCGCAATCCGAGCTCTTGCTGTTAGGGTAGTACTTGATGTGCCAAATATAGCCTCCTACCTCAAATTGGCGAGAGGCGATGCCTTGACCAGTGGGTGTCAGTTTCTTGGTGCGCGAGTAGTTTTCGACAACAAGCACATGGTACCCGGAGTTGGAGCTAGTGCCAACATAGGTCACGGTGGAGTTTTGGACAACAAGCATATAGAACATGGATTTGCTATCAACACTTGTTAGGGTGGTGGTTATCAGAATCGTTCATATGCATCAAGATTCGCACCTTTGGATAGATAAGGTTCTGATTTTATGATTTATTGAATATCGCCATGACTAGAGTGGAAAAGTGAGCTAGAACTTTATGGATGCAGTGTCCAGAAACGGCAACCTAGTCTCTGCATTTTCAGACTCAATGAGAGCAAGTCTGCAGCAAACTTTTGTAGGTGGCAGGGATCGTCAGTGTGCTATTTTGGCAAACCTAATTAAATACTCATTTACTAAAGGTTCCGGCAATAGTATGCTAATTTTGGCATGTGAATCCTGCCACTTTCTTCTGACCATAGCATAGATGGTCAGTTAGCATCTGCCTATCACGCACAAGGTCCAAGATTGCATGGACCTAAAGCACATCTGGTGCTAACGCATGGTCACAGTACACGCACATATCATATTACCTGATTGATTCATTGATGCTAGTGGGTCAAGCCAGCTTATGCATGTCCGGATGTACCTAGCGTCCGAGCCTTAGCCCGTAAACTTGCTTGGACAAATTCACACACAAATAATTATGAAGTTTTAATAGAAGGAGATCAGATGGAATTAAAACCTGGATTTTAATGTACTATTTCTAGCAACCATCAGTGCCCCTCCACTACTTGGACCGCAATGCTCTGTAATCTTACCACTTGGCCTCCTCCCTGTTCGTATTCGTCTTGCGCCCCGCTCGCGGAAGACAACCTTCTTATGGACGGTGGTGTGCTCGCAGCGGTCATGGAGGGCAACGATTTTGTGGAGAGCAGCGCCCCCACGCCCGGGGCTGGTGGCGGTCGGCGTGCAACTGGCCAGTAGCATCCTCGCGGCGGTCGATCTGGTCGTGGCCGGAATCGTGCGCACAGCCAGTGGAGTCCTTGCTGTGGTCGGCCTGCACGCGGTCAGAGTCATGCTCAGGAACGACGGGTCTGCTTCCAGCTAGTGGTGTCCTCGTGGTGGCCGGCGTGCTTGCGACTGGTCGGCCTCCATACGAAGGACAGTGATCTCGCGTCGGACCATGATCCGTCGGACCATGATCTCACGTCGAGTTAGAGAAGTGTGGAGGGACCGAGGAGAAATGTGCAGGTTGGTCTGTTCATGCCTTCATGGTAGTACTACTTGATTTATACTTCTATAGTATGTCTCTGCTTAGGTTGGTCTGTTCAAAATCATGGATGTATTCTATTTTTCGCAGCTAATTTGGAAGCTATTCCATGGCGCCTGTTCGGTTCAGGAGGGAACTGAAATTTTTTGTGCGTGAGAAGCTTGCATGCAACATGGAGAAAGAGAGAGAGAGAGTCTGCATGCAGCGACGGAAATGATGCGAGGACTGAGAACCCACCCAGTCAGTCCATGTTACGTCTTCCGGTTCCTTGAAGGTCAGATGCCGGTTCTTTGCAACTTGTATTTCGCTTCGATGTGTAGTTTCAACGGTTCTTCATCGCGAACCCACCTACTCACTCCATGACACCTCGTCTGGTTCCATGAAGGTCGGATGCCGGTTCTTTGCAACTCTTGGTTCGGTTCAAAGTGTAGTTTCAGCGGTTCTTCATCGCGAACCCACCCACTCACTCCATGTCACCTTGTCCGGTTCCGTCAAGGTCGGATGTCGGTTATTTGCAACTCGTATTTCGGTTCAAAGTGTACTTTTGAGGTTCTTCATCGCGAACCCACCCAGTCAGTCCATGTCACGTCGTCCGGTTCCTTGAAGGTCGGATGCCGGTTCTTTGCAACTTGTATTTCGCTTCGATGTGTAGTTTCAACGGTTCTTCATCGCGAACCCACCTACTCACTCCATGACACCTCGTCCGGTTCCATGAAGGTCGGATGCCGGTTCTTTGCAACTTG